AATCCGTACAGTACTGCACGGAAAAATTGACCATTTTATCCACTACAATTGCATTGCTCAAATGTGCTGTTATTGGTACCATTTGCTACTGAAAATATCAACGAGATGTTTATTTATATTTGAAGACATATTAAAGGCTTCAACGCTTGTTTTCGACTCGCACTATCATTCATGATTGAACAAAACTTTTGGCAGGTACTGTATGAAAAAGTATGTTTAATTAACAAGAGTCGAGAGTATAATGAGCTTTTCTCTCCCTACCTACGATTTTGCCAGCGCGCATCCAAGACATTGGAAGGGGAACATCGCTACAGAAAGTAAATGAAGTATACGTACGGTAGTTAATAGTTTATACTCACCAAAATGAACTCCTTGAACATTTCCCGCACGTTTTAACTCAACAAGAATATCTATAAGATCGTTAAACTTAAAATTATTTTTTTCCCTTTCTTGCACTTGAGAACCAAACGTTTGTGTAATAAATTTTATCACATAAGAATCTAACACCTTCAAACGGGTTAATTTTATGAATGACTTATTAATCGCGTATCCAAAAAGCCTGAGATCATTTAATATGCTAAATCCGAATATTCTTTGCCCAATCTGGTAAAAAATCGCATTCTTATCTTCAAAGCAGCCTCCTTCTAACCCATAAATGCATGTCGCCAATACATTCATTGAATATCTATTGCATAGTTCCCTCGCATCCAAGATAGGACTTGTAAGTGACGTATTCTTGTTAATGTACGCATTCATGTCGTTTGTTATGCTTTCTATTTTGAGAGACATATTTTTTAACTTTCCAGAGGTGAAAATTGGCGCAGTTTTTGTTCGCAGAACTTTCCATTTTTTATATTTTGCAAAAAACAAAAAGTTTGTACTTATATTGTCAATGCTTTCGTCCGCGAGATTGCTTCTGTCCGTAAAATGGTTAAAATCTTTTATCAGTATGTGTTTAATCAATTCTGGATCTCTAACCACTAAAACTGGCTCATTGAAAACAAAAATACCGAAAAATCTTTTTTGCACTTGATTGTAAAAGTCTGCTAATAAGAACCCTATGCCCTTTTGTAAAAGGAAAGTTTTAGATAAACTGCCAAAAAGCGGAACTGGTTTCACAAATTCAACTTGCCTTTTTTCCCAATAGTCGAAATTTCTTACGAGATACTTATACAGACAAAAGACTAACACCGATAAAAGCACTAAATAGAACATCTCAGAAACCTTGTCCCATGCCGTGGTTGATGCGAAGAACTACTCGATTTTGTACAAACTGACTCTCTATTTCATCGGCGCATGTTTATTTATATAAGCAGGAGAATTACTTAATAAGCATAAAAGTTATTGCATGATGCGCTTATTATAAACAGTCAATAATAATTAGTTAAACTAATAGTAACTTATTAAGATATGCGTTTTAAAGCAGATAGTTGTATAAATATGTAAGAATACATAATTTTACAGAGATATTCGCATGTGATCGTACAACATACTCATTTTCTTGACAACAGAAATTATTCTCACGTTAATTATTTATTTAAATGTTAATACTTCTATAATTTTATCAAACTTATTTTTTCATAAAACCAAACTGGGAAAAATGGTTCGGAATATTTTCGCAGCACACGCAATTTCCCAGAATAAAGTCGCGTAAAATTACCAGTTTAAGCCGGGGGACTAAACTGCAGTATCTATAAAGAACAAAAAGTATCCTATATTTCAAAAAACTAACCTACAGTTTTTTGTTTGTTTTCATAAAAGAGGAGAGAAATCTTCGATAGACATCCAGCCGATTGTACGTCTGGGTAATATTGGATTCCCTCCCATAAGGGCCTTGCAGCTAAATCTCCTCTAGCTCAGGCCGTTTTGGAACCTTTTAAGGTTCCCTTCAACTAGCTGCAAAAGGTACTTATTCTATATTAGGTTTCATCTGCGGTTTCGCTCGCGTTGATGTTTTTACTAATTTTCAATAATATTTAGGATATTTACACTTCATAATTTGATTTAACTCCGAAGAATTTACATATAATATGAGCAATAAAAGCATGCTCATTTGAATTTACCAAGCCCTTTTACTCATGGAGGCCGAGTTGATATGCCGGAAGACCACATACAACTCGATACAAACGTTATAGATGTGCCCCTTTACTTTTCTATTTTATTCTCTAATTATTCATTCTATTCGCGCAGATTTCGTCAAGGTTACCCTAACCGTTTGTAATTAGTTGTAAAACTAATTTTTCTATTCCTCGAGAACAGTGTTTTTTTTTTATAAAAGGTACTCTATGTCCGTTTCTGTACCCCTGACAAGGGGTGTACAAAATTTCATGATGATTGGTTGAATAGGTCAGGCGTGAAATGGTAACAAACAAACTTATATTCGCCTTTATAATATTACAATCGTCTATTCCGAATAGGCTCTAATTTTCCAGCAGCCGGTTAGGCCAATGGGCGTTCCAACTCCAAGCGCACAACTTATAGGTAGAATTCACTATGGGAAAGGCAGATTTTGTAACATACACACTACAATATACATCAGCAGAGATTCTTAACCAATGAATCTTATCACAATTCCGTCGATCTATCTCGAACGTATAATTAGTGTGAAACCTCAAAATCTGAAAATTGCAATATCTCCTCATTAGTTTGAGATTATCCGTAGTGGGTAAAACTAATTCTCTAACATTGAATTAACGCAACAAAAATTCAAAGTACCTCATAGCCGGGATAAATCGAGAAAAAGGTCTAAAAGTAATCAGTGATAAGCAAATCGAATATTTGAACTACAAAAAAAGGTGGTAATCAAAGTGTTGAGAAGGTAATTGAATGTCAAGAAGTTCTAAACTATTGTCACTATTGACCATTACGATTTTTAATTGTTGGCTCATTTTGTTAGCGTTGTCAGCCATTATTCTTCTTTAATTGTTACCATTATGTTCGGACATTATTCTTTTTTATTATTCGAATGATCTAGAAAGTGTTAGTTGCTAATTTGTTATTGTTAACTAATTTTGAAGTCAATGGTTCAAATCATCATGGTTTACTGCATTGCAGATAGAAGTCACTTTCTATTATAAGAACAGTGGAACGACCAGGTAAACTACAAAAACTCTTAATCGAAAGCATTCCAGCCACGTCTACGTAAGAAAGACATCTAAATTCGTGAAGATTGGATCTGTCGCTAACAAAAAACATGAAAGGCATCACATTGTTCAAACAGGGATGCAGAAGTTGCAATTTTGGAACATATTGAGCGGGATCCTATACCAAGCATCAGAAAATTGGAATCTACTTCAGGAATTCTACGTAGAAGTCTTCAGAGGATATTCAATTTTGGAAATTCTTGAAAATGTCCGCTACATTACACAATGATACATTTTATTAACAGGTCTCGTCCCGCCACACTAAACAGCTCCTATACATGACTTTTCAACGTTTTCCCGAACAGTGGATTGGTAAAATGGGTTCCATTAGAAGGATGTTATATACATAATGGAAACAACCCTTTTAAAAGATCTAATATACCTCCAAATTGTGGCTGCATGCAAAAACACCTGAAATACTGTAAAATGCTCGAGAGAATGTTGAAGAAAGATATTATCACTGTATGGAAATAAATAGATTACAGTGTGAACATTTAATCGATTAAAGCATGTTTGAAAAACCACAAGATAGGACTTGTAAGTGACGTATTCTTGTTAATGTACGCATTCATGTCGTTTGTTATGCTTTCTATTTTGAGAGACATATTTTTTAACTTTCCAGAGGTGAAAATTGGCGCAGTTTTTGTTCGCAGAACTTTCCATTTTTTATATTTTGCAAAAAACAAAAAGTTTGTACTTATATTGTCAATGCTTTCGTCCGCGAGATTGCTTCTGTCCGTAAAATGGTTAAAATCTTTTATCAGTATGTGTTTAATCAATTCTGGATCTCTAACCACTAAAACTGGCTCATTGAAAACAAAAATACCGAAAAATCTTTTTTGCACTTGATTGTAAAAGTCTGCTAATAAGAACCCTATGCCCTTTTGTAAAAGGAAAGTTTTAGATAAACTGCCAAAAAGCGGAACTGGTTTCACAAATTCAACTTGCCTTTTTTCCCAATAGTCGAAATTTCTTACGAGATACTTATACAGACAAAAGACTAACACCGATAAAAGCACTAAATAGAACATCTCAGAAACCTTGTCCCATGCCGTGGTTGATGCGAAGAACTACTCGATTTTGTACAAACTGACTCTCTATTTCATCGGCGCATGTTTATTTATATAAGCAGGAGAATTACTTAATAAGCATAAAAGTTATTGCATGATGCGCTTATTATAAACAGTCAATAATAATTAGTTAAACTAATAGTAACTTATTAAGATATGCGTTTTAAAGCAGATAGTTGTATAAATATGTAAGAATACATAATTTTACAGAGATATTCGCATGTGATCGTACAACATACTCATTTTCTTGACAACAGAAATTATTCTCACGTTAATTATTTATTTAAATGTTAATACTTCTATAATTTTATCAAACTTATTTTTTCATAAAACCAAACTGGGAAAAATGGTTCGGAATATTTTCGCAGCACACGCAATTTCCCAGAATAAAGTCGCGTAAAATTACCAGTTTAAGCCGGGGGACTAAACTGCAGTATCTATAAAGAACAAAAAGTATCCTATATTTCAAAAAACTAACCTACAGTTTTTTGTTTGTTTTCATAAAAGAGGAGAGAAATCTTCGATAGACATCCAGCCGATTGTACGTCTGGGTAATATTGGATTCCCTCCCATAAGGGCCTTGCAGCTAAATCTCCTCTAGCTCAGGCCGTTTTGGAACCTTTTAAGGTTCCCTTCAACTAGCTGCAAAAGGTACTTATTCTATATTAGGTTTCATCTGCGGTTTCGCTCGCGTTGATGTTTTTACTAATTTTCAATAATATTTAGGATATTTACACTTCATAATTTGATTTAACTCCGAAGAATTTACATATAATATGAGCAATAAAAGCATGCTCATTTGAATTTACCAAGCCCTTTTACTCATGGAGGCCGAGTTGATATGCCGGAAGACCACATACAACTCGATACAAACGTTATAGATGTGCCCCTTTACTTTTCTATTTTATTCTCTAATTATTCATTCTATTCGCGCAGATTTCGTCAAGGTTACCCTAACCGTTTGTAATTAGTTGTAAAACTAATTTTTCTATTCCTCGAGAACAGTGTTTTTTTTTTATAAAAGGTACTCTATGTCCGTTTCTGTACCCCTGACAAGGGGTGTACAAAATTTCATGATGATTGGTTGAATAGGTCAGGCGTGAAATGGTAACAAACAAACTTATATTCGCCTTTATAATATTACAATCGTCTATTCCGAATAGGCTCTAATTTTCCAGCAGCCGGTTAGGCCAATGGGCGTTCCAACTCCAAGCGCACAACTTATTAGGTTGAATTCACTATGGGAAAGGCAGATTTTGTAACATACACACTACAATATACATCAGCAGAGATTCTTAACCAATGAATCTTATCACAATTCCGTCGATCATCTCGAACGTATAATTAGTGTGAAACCTCAACACCTGAAAATTGAAATATTTCCTTATTAGTTTGAGATTATCCGTAGTGGGTAAAACTAATTCTCTAACATTGAATTAACGCAACAAAAATTCAAAGTACCTCATAGCCGGGATAAATCGAGAAAAAGGTCTAAAAGTAATCAGTGATAAGCAAATCGAATATTTGAACTACAAAAAAAGGTGGTAATCAAAGTGTTGAGAAGGTAATTGAATGTCAAGAAGTTCTAAACTATTGTCACTATTGACCATTACGATTTTTAATTGTTGGCTCATTTTGTTAGCGTTGTCAGCCATTATTCTTCTTTAATTGTTACCATTATGTTCGGACATTATTCTTTTTTATTATTCGAATGATCTAGAAAGTGTTAGTTGCTAATTTGTTATTGTTAACTAATTTTGAAGTCAATGGTTCAAATCATCATGGTTTACTGCATTGCAGATAGAAGTCACTTTCTATTTTAAGAACAGTGAAACGACCAGGTAAACTACAAAAACTCTTAATCGAAAGCATTCCAGCCACGTCTACGTAAGAAAGACATCTAAATTCGTGAAGATTGGATCTGTCGCTAACAAAAAACATGAAAGGCATCACATTGTTCAAACAGGGATGCAGAAGTTGCAATTTTGGAACATATTGAGCGGGATCCTATACCAAGCATCAGAAAATTGGAATCTACTTCAGGAATTCTACGTAGAAGTCTTCAGAGGATATTCAATTTTGGAAATTCTTGAAAATGTCCGCTACATTACACAATGATACATTTTATCAATAAGTCTCGTCCCGCCACACTAAACAGCTCCTGTGCATGACTTTTTCGATCGATATTTTCCCGAACAGTAGATTGGTAAAAGGGGTTCCATTAAAAGGATGTTATCTACAAAATGTGGAAGAAAGATATTATCATTGTATGGAAGTAAATAGATTACAGTCTAAACATTAAATCGATTAAAGCATGTTTGAAAAACTTTTTTTTAATTCCTCCTATATTTCCAACTAGGTTTTCACATTAATGATAACACAGAACAAAAAATGTCAGCTTGCTTGTAAAAAGAATTAGGCAAGACTATACTTAATAAATTCCTACTATTACAATTATGTAGATAAATCGTATGTTTGTTAAATATAAACCAATACTTATTATTCCCATAAGAATTTTTCATCATTACATGATAACGAATAATATGAAAATTCCGGAGATCAATATGCAAATAACAAACATCCCACTGATACATTTGTAAATATAGCTGCAATAATTGTGATAAACAAGGTTACCACTCTGCTTAACATGTACAATTTGAAATGAAAGTAATAATATATTAAGTTATAAAAAGCAATAAAAGTATTAAAAGTAATAAATAT